TAATTTTTTTTTTTAGAAAAGCAACATTTCAAAACAAAACCAAAAAAAATCACAAGGAATTAAGTACTTTAAAATTTTGGCTAAGGTTTCCCATTAAACTTATAAAGTTTCCTAGTGAAAGCCAGTAAAGGTCCATAAAAGAATTACTGTTTATTTATTTTAAAAAGACACTTTAACAAGAAATACAAATCAAATGGGACCTATATTGAAGTTCTTGGACCAAACTAGTCCAAGAACTGCAGAATTAATAATTCAGCCTTTAAAGCATACAAACACATCAGACAGAGTCTAGATCAGTGCTGTATAACAGAAATAAAATGTGAGTTACATACCTAATTTTGTTTTCTAGAAGTTACACTGAGTAAAAACAAGGAAAGTGAATTTTAATATTATATTTCATGTAACCCAATATGTCTAAAATATTCTCTCAAACAGGTAATCAATATTTTCAAATTAGATATTTAGCATTATTTTTCTCATATAAGCCTTCAAAATTTCAAGTGTGTTTTATGCTTTATAGTACACCGCAATTTCAAATGCTCAACAGCCAACTATGGCTAGTGGTTACCACACTGGACAATGGATTTCTGTATTCTTTTAGGTAACAGTAAAATATAAAGGCATGTTGTATTTGCATTAAAATATTAAGAGAAATATAGAAATATATCTTGTTTTAAATATTAAAATTCATATCAAATAATTCTAAGCTCTACTTTTTAAACATAAGTTTTACTTAGTTCTAACTTTTATTACAAAATGCCTAGAATTCCACTGAAATTTAAAAGACTCAATAAGACTTCCAATGAAATACAAATTACACAGCCATGTATGCTTAATTTGTTTCACAGAGTGGTAATAACACTTTGTACATATGCATTTTAATATCTGATAAAGGCTGGTGCATGCCCGTAATCCCAGCAGTTTGGAGGCTAAGGCAGGAAGACTGCCTGAGACCAGGCTTTCGAAACCAGACTGAGCCACACAGCAAGACCTCATCTCTACAAAAGTAAAAAATTAAAAATTAAGGAAAGTATATCAGATGAGGTAAAAAAAACATTAAAATAACTTATAATTCTAAGAATAATAATTTAATCAATGACATATTGGCTGTCAACTATCTGCAAAAGCTTCCTTAATACTTTCTCTTATATATATTATGTGCAATTTTAACCGCTTTTTCCTTTGAGGAAATGTTTAATGACTCAGGAAATGTGGATTTTTGCTATTTTTCATATTTAAATATTTTTGTAATTATGGGGTGTTATGATTTCAATGTTTGTCCCCTCCAAAACTCATACTGAAATTTGCCATTGTGACAGTGTTAGGAAGTAAGAGGTAACAGGGAGGTTTCAGGAGGTAATAGGGCCATAAGGGTTCAACCCTCAGGAGAGGAACTAATGCCCTTATAAAAGGGCAAGTTAGACCCCTTTTGCCTCTTGGCCCTTCTGCTGCTTCCAACCAGTAAAGAGAAACTGTCCTTCCTCTGGGGAATGCAGCATTCAAGGAGCCATCTTGAAATCAGAATCACCAAATCTGCCAGCACCTTGATGCTGGACTTCCCAACTTCCACAGTATGAGTCAATACATTTCTGTTCATGATAAATTACCCAGTCTACAGTGCCCTACTATAGCAGGACCAGACTAAGAAATATATGGATATATCTATATTATATATTAATATATCTTATTTATGTAATGATCATATATGTATATGTTTATATTTTATATATGAATATATTAATATATAATTGGAAATACATTTGGTCTGTCCTGGGTTCCAGGCACAGAGATCCTAAACACCTTGAAATTTCCTGATAGGTGTGAGTCTTTTGAGTTTATGCTAACAAAGTGATTTAGGATGGGACCCTAAATAGCTTCAGGATAAGGTTGGTTACTAGAAAGACCAAGTAATTAGAGGGCTGTAACTTTCAGTCCCACCCACTGACTTCCAGGAAGATTGAGCTCTAAAACAACTCTGTTACAAGGTTCAGGATTGGAAGAGCTTCCAGGCTGGTGAGCAAACCAAAATGCTGGGAGGGTGGAGAGGAGAAGAAGACACGGAAGCTCTGTGAGCATTGCCCCCATTTCTTTCCCTGGGATGTTCCTGACTTGTATACTTTATAATAAACCAGTAAATGTAAGTAAAGTGTTTTCCTGAGTTCTGTGAGCCATTTTAGCAAGTCACTGAACCTGAGAAGAGGCTCAGGTTTTGGGTTAAAACCTAAAACTGCAGAGTATTCATCTACTTAACACTGTATACACTCGGGAGTTGACGTGGAATTTGTTTAACAAAGCTAATCCTGCCATACTGTAAATGACTAAAAAAATGTACAATAATAATTTTAGAAAGTCTCTTTGGCTTAGAGGATAAATTACCTCTATAAATAAAAGTAATTTACCTCTATAAATTACCTCTATTTTATAAAAATATGGGAGAAAAGGAGTAATGATAATGATGTGAGAATGAATTATCCACTCAATATAATAAAATGGCCCACAATAAATGACTAGTTTACAGTTTTCTAATAATGGTAAAGCTCATAATAATCCATCAATTTTACTTCACTCACTCTTCCTTATGACCAAGAGAATATATACTTCAAATACTTTTTAAGTTGGAGGCTCTATAAGATAGAATTATCATATAGTCTGTTTCTATTATTAAGAAATAAATAAATTGATCTACTCAGAATCAAAAGTCATGATTTTGGTATCACTGGTACTGATTGAGCTCTAATCAAAATGATTTTAATCAGAATAAAAAGCAGAAATCAACTGATGCAGAGACATTAAATATAAGACTGAAAAATTAATATCTGATCTAACAAGCAATTAAAAATCACTAAGTTTCTTAGCTATCACACTCTCAGAGTGACAATCATGATGGATTAGAAAAGAAAAACTTAGAGACAATAGTCTAGATGCATGATAATAAATACCTAGATTAGAACAGAAGAAGCAAATAACTAGAATAGATAAGAGGTAGTGAAGAAAGGAAGAAAGAGAAACAAATTTTAAGAACACAAGAGCTTAATTTATAGCAGGGGTTGGCAAACTATAGCATGTAGGCCAAATATAGCTGGCTGCTTTTTGCAAATAAAGTTTTATTGGAAAACAGCCAAGCCCATTGGCTCTTGTATTGTCTATGGCTGCTTCACACTATAGTGGTGGAGTTGAACAACAGCAACTACGTGGCCCACAAAAGCTAAATATTTACCACCTGGCCTATATTTGTTTCCATTCATTATAGGACTGCCATAATAAAGTACCACACAGTGGATGGCTTACAGCAATAGAAATTTATTCTCTCACAGATCTGAAGGATAGAAAGAAATTCAAAACCAAGGTGTGCACAGAATTATGCTCTCTCAAAGGCTTTAGGGGAGAATCTGTTCCATGCCTTTCTCTTAGCTTTTGCTGTCGGCAGCAATCCTTAGCATTCCTTGATTTGCAGTTACATAAAACTAATCTCTGCCTCCACTGTCACAGAGTCGTCTTCTCTCCTGTTCATATGGTGTTCTCCATATGGTGTTCTCCTCTCTTAGCAGAACACCAGTCATATTGGATTAAGGGCCCACAAGACTCCAGTATGACTTTATCTATCTGCAACGACCCTATTTCTAAATAAGGTCACATTCTGAGGTGCTGGGGTTTAGGGCTCAACATATGTTTTTAGAGGACACATTTCAACCCGTATCTTGGCCCTTTACAGAAAAAATCTGCCAACACCTACTTTAGAAGAATAAGAATTGATAAGTAGGCCCAGAGATACATCTGAACAATGAGAGATTTAAATGGTAAAACTGGGATTTGTTTTAAACATACTAAGTTTAAAGCAACAGTAATAGCTCTCTAAAAACATCAGGCAGAAAGCAATACATATAGGCCAGGGATCTGGATTGTCTTACAGAGAGAGGAATCGGAAGTAACCTGAAAACGGATGGGCATTCTCAAATAAACGTTTTGTACAGCAGGCCAAGAACTATCTTTAGAGAATGTCTCCATTAGACAACAATGTTACTACAGACTGTCACTGTTACATCACGAGATAATAATGTAGAAAATAATATAATTTAGTATTATATAATCTGAAAGAGAAAACTCAACAGTGACAAACCCAACAAAGGAATTGAAGTGGCCTATGACCAGGAAATTTGGTTAGAATGAGACAACACTCAAAGAAGACAACTTTCATGGAGAAACTAAGACAGAAATCAGACCAATAAGGGAAATAGGAATGCTTAAAAACTAAAGACAGTAGGTACAGTGAAATACCAGATTGGTGGCCTCCAATGAACCACATTTCCTGGTTATCTATATCCTTGTAAAATCTTCTTCCACATAGACTCTAAGCTTAGCTAAATGACTTGTTTTGGCCAACATATTAGCAAGCATTGGCAAGCAGATGCAATGATAAACACTTGCACATGGGAACTTGCCTTCTTGGAACACTAACTGCCATGCTGTAATAAAGCTTGGGCTAGGCTCCTGAATGATGAGAGGTAACACAGAAAGAAATTGTGCAGAATAAGAGGCCATCTTAGATACTCCAGCCCCAACAGAGCTCCCAAGAGATTGCAACTTCCACAGTGACCTCAGCCCACATCTAAGGGAACAGAAAAACTGTCTAGCTGGGCCGGGTCAACCCACAGAATCGGGAGAAGTAATAAACTGTTGTCATTTTAAGCAACTATTATTTTGGAGTGATTTGTAAAGCAACAGTAGATAACATACAGTCAGAATAGGATACATGTTTGAGAAATACAAGAACATGAGAGTGAAAATTTTTAAAAACTGGGAAGACTTATATCCAAATGGGGGGAAAACACAAAAACCATGTAAATATTTATAGAGGGTAAAATTATCATGTTAAAAAAAAAAACTAAAGATGTTGAAGATGAAGGCAATGTGCCACACGAGGAAAGAGAAATTTTACAACTAGAAACAGAAATGCAGTCACTCTGTTCTATGACAGTAGCAGGGAAAACATTTCTACCTACTTCATCACTTTCATCTACTTCAATTCCACCATCTTTGTCGTCATCCATTTGTTTATGTATTGTTTGAAGAGCTTCTAGACTAAATCTGTCTTCTTCTGTAAAGCATGGTGGACTCAGTGACATGCAGGGATCTGAAAGAGAACAAACGGTAATTACTAACTTGCCATACCAAAATAAAGGCTATAATTACTGTAATTAAAAAAAAAAAAAAAAAAAAAAAAACAGAATTAAACTTCAGACTAAGAGGCTTTAAGATGTCTAGGAGAATATTCTCTATATCAGAAGTATAATATATGAACACAACTGACTAAAAATAAATCCAATTTAATTAATATTAGCCAACTACAACCAGGAGTTATGCCAGTATTAACTTCAGGTTATCTAAAATCTCCACATGTTTAACCATTTCTTCTTATTGAACCTGAATATTTACTAATCATGATTTACTAATCATTCCCCCCCCAAAAAAAAAACGATGGTTTCCATCAAAAAAAAAAAAAAACTAAAAAAAAAAAAAAAAAAAAAATCACAGAATACAAAGTGCTCTGTTTGCACAATCCAGTTTAATCAAAATGATTCCCAGAAAATATCACCCAAAAAAAGGAAAGGAAATGTAGAATAGTCACGTGACCCTTTTTGTTTTCATTTTTCTATTTAAGATAATCCAAGAGTCTACCCATATTTCAAAATAACTAAGTTCTTAGATTCAACAACAACAACAACAACAAAGAAAAGAAAAAGACTAATCAGATTTTTAAAAATCTTGTTCTTCATGTTATCTTTAAGATACATTTATTGGTCAGACTTCTCTCAGTGGAATATATGTAAATCCTCACATTCAAGTTGTCAAAAACTAAGTTAGAAAGCATGAAGCATTTTTCAATGACTTAAAATTAGACTGATGGAAATCACCTCCTCTGCACATAACTAGTAAACAACCTACATATCAAAATGGAAAAGGACAGCCAAAGCTTCACTTACACCCAATCTGGCTGACTGTTGGACTGACAAATTCTAGGAACTTACTTCTCTTCTACCAAGTCACTAAAATAATATTCCTTTAAAATGTCATCAGAACCACATATATTTCCAGAAATAGTATGGCCTAAAAGTTGAAAGTGGTTAACATAAGAGAGGGGATAGACACAGTTTAGTTATCTCATCAATTGTTAAGTCTATCATCTGGCCCTACTATGAATGAGCTGTCATCAGTTACTTGTGGACAAATCACTTGTCTTTGTGTCTTAGTTACCTCATCCATAAAATAAAGCAAGTAGCAATGCTTACTAAGATCTATTGCAGCAAGAAGGGCCTAAAGAATATCTAATTCTGTGCTTGGGGAAAAAAAGCTGGGAGAAGAGAAGCCAGTATTTGAGGCCCACAGATAATTTTATTTTCTAAAAAATAATTCAAACCAATATTACCTAACATGTTCCAATTACAGCTGAAAAAATATTTTCGTGATTTAACATTTTTAATAGTTTTAATTCAAAATCTAATTTTAATTACTTTAGCCTAGGAAGGAAAGTAAACAGAAGAGAAAGAAACTATAAAAATAGGAAATGTAATTATAAATTCTGTGTGATATATGAACATGTTTACATACAAATATTTAAACCACCAGTCAAGATCTGCTAAAAGCCAAGAACCTACAGGCATAATGGTCTATTATAATCCCTGATTCACAAAACAATCAAGACCTTGATATACCCATAAGTTTGAATTTATCTGCAATTATTTAAAAGATCCAAAATAAAAGATAAGATCTCAGGTATCAACACAACATATAGTGTAAAGATCTGTATATAACATGTAATTGCCTCCAGCAGACCTATTTTTTACACATAGTTTATTCTGCTAAAAAAAAAAAAAAAAAAGGAAAAAAAAGTGAAGGTGTTCACTGCAACTTGTACATAAGGAAAGGGCCAGCAACTCTCACTCTGATTAAACAGGCTTTGTTGTTAAAGTCTGTAATAGGAGTCAAAAGTGAGGGATGTACAACCACAGGAAGCTTTAAGAGAAATTAGGAGCAATATGACTTGAAAAACTCATATGAAAATAAAATTGGTAACTATTTACTTAAATAGGCATATTTCAGAAACACTTATTAGCTAATCTAATAAATACTGTCTCTCAATTCTACTTCAAGATGTTATTAATACTTCTCCGTAAAGTCTTTCATAAACACTATCTCCTAGTGATCACTCTCTTCTCTGCACTCCATTCAATCTACTCCACAAATAATCTAATAGGCACCTAACATGTGCCAGGCACTGGAAATAACATGGTGAACAAAAGAGACAAAAATCCTTATAAAACTTATATTCTAATGGGGACTATGAACCTAACAAGATAGATAAGTAAATGGTGTAGGCATGTTAATAGTGGTAAATATTAAAGAGAAAGTGAAAAGCAGATATGAAATGTCAAGGGATTTGAAATTTTTAATTATATCTTCATTTTCTAATAATTCTACCTAAGTCCTCACTTAATGCTATACTTGATTAATCTTTAATTGCCTTATGTGTCATTTTTGTCCATATAATTATGAACAGAGCAGGGACCATGTTCCTCCACTTCTCACATAATACCCAGGACTTAGGTGAACATATTTTAAGCCTCTGATAAATTGTTATGTCATATATTAACCAAATCACAAACTTCTAGGCTTCTATCCTGTGCAAGGTAGTGACAGGCATTAGGAATTAAAGAGATAGGGAGTATCCAAAGTCAAAGCTCACAGTTTAGTGAGGAGGAGGACATGTAGACTACTACAATGTATTATGTTAGGTAAAAGTTTTCTAGAGGTAAACTTGAGGAACTTTAAATCAGCTGTAGTTGATGACCTAGAGAAGAAATAAAAGCATGCCTAGAAGCAGCATCATATGTTCAGTGACATAAAAAAATACATGAACATTCAGAAAATTGCAAGTGGTTTACAGAGACACCAATACACAGAAAGCAAGATCAGGTGGAGATAGCTAAAAGGCTGGATCTCCAAAAGCTCTGTTTTTCATACTAGAATATTTGTATTTTTATCCTAAAAACTGTGAGAAGCCATTAACGGATTTCAAGGAGGGGACTAACACAATCAAATTCATTTAAAATCTGATAACTCTGGTGACAATGGAAAGGGACGATGGCAATTCGCCAGATCCCTCTGGTGACAGTGGAATACGATGGTGGCAAGACTGAAAGACACAGCTGACACTCATTCTGGCAGCACTCTACAGACCATGCCTCCAAGGAACAGAAATGGTAGATGATGATTCTGCTCTAGGGTTTGGTGTTTTGCCAAGTTGGAGCAGCAGAAGGAAAGACAGGAGCTGAAGTTACGGCAAGAGTGATCCATTTCTTCACATAAAATTTTATTTCCTTTGAAGTATGACTTAAGGCTGTTACAAATCTAATTTAAAATAGCTGTGAATTCTGAACTCTATTACCTATTCTAATGTCTCTTTTCACTTCTTAGTTGTTTACCTTCTAGGTTAATTCACCACATGTGATCGTTTTAACTCAAATTAGCTGGCCTATATTTATTCTAAAATATACAAACTGCTTAAAAAAAAAAAAGAAAAAAGGTCTATGCCTATAATTATAATCATTTCAAAGACAACTGCTAAAATACCAATCTCGTTCTCCTTTGCTTGTATTTTACAGACACTTTCCTTAGCTACCCAAAATACCCCAGTATACATCAGGTACTCAATACCAGTACATCATCCTCATCTAAACAGAATTCACTTGCTAATTTAAATATGATATGGGGTGCCTATAATATGTCAGGCTCTGTACTTGGTGCTGGGCACACAAGGCAACAACTAAGACAAATGTTCTCCCCTCATGCTCTCACCTTGTGTTAAATGCAACATGGTGTGACACAGCTTTTGATTTTATATGCTAAGCATTCTTTCTTTTCTCTGGGTTAACGGCAGCACTTTGCACTGAGGGAAAAGGAACCAGTTGCAACAGAATAATACCTAACCCAAGTCAGCTATCAAAACCATTATTAAACTCCACCTTGTTTTCCTGTAATTAGAGCCAAATGCTCAGTATGGTTCTAAAGAAATGAAGTAAAATTAATTAAAATTATTTCACCCATTAAGAAATATCTACGACAGGCCGGGCACAGCGGCTCACACCTGTAATCCCAGAACTTTGGGAAGCTGAGGCAGACAGATCACCTGAGATCAGGAGTGCGGGACCAGCCTGGACAACATGACAAAACCCCGTCTCTATGAAAGATACAAAAATTAGCCGGGCATAGTGGCACACTCCTATAGTCCCAGCTACTTAGGAGGCTGAGGCAGGAGAACTGCCTGAACTTGAAAGGTGGAGGATGCAGTCAGCCAAGATCATGCCTCTGCACTCCAGCCTGGGCGACAGAGTAAGACTCCATCTCAAAAAAAAAAAAAAAAGAAAAAAAAAAAAAAAAGGAAGAAATATCTACTACCTTCTAGAAACCAATACTATCTTATGTACATAATTTATTTTCTGCAACCTGTATGGGGCAAATGATATCTCTACTTTCCAGATGAGGAAATAAGACTCATGAGTAACTTGCTTAAGATGACGCTCCTAGAAATGACAACTGGGATTCTAAGTCTTCACAACTCCAAATCCATACTCAAGCATCAGTATAACGAACATAAATGGGTCAGTGTTATCAGCGTCAGAGAATTAAATACTGCTATCATAGATACTGCCAGTACCTGGCTGAGGAGCCAACTACACCAAAAAGCATAAAGGTGCCCAATGGGAGGAGATCATCAGACACTTGCAGAATAATACTCACAATCTAGAATACATATCTATACTTCCTGCCTTAGTTTTCCTTTAGATAATATATCTCCACTTCAATTCACACTCCCCTTCAACAAACCATTATATTAAGTATATTATATTATATCATAACTTTACCCTAAACTTGATTGCGAACATGCATTGTAGTAATTTTTTATTCTCAGTATCTACCACAGTAAGTGACATATTTGTTGAATGGTTTAAGTATATGTAAATTAGAGACCAATGGAATTCACTTCCAAATGCAATTCATTTATGTAGCAAATATCTAAATGCCAGACTTTAGGTTAGAAGCCGGGTATACAAAAGGTAAAAACAAACAAAGTTAAAGATGGCAGATGCAATGACAGATATAAGTAATAAATATATAATGGTGGCAAAACTAAGGGAATGGTCATGTCTACATGCATAGCAAGAAAGGCTTCAAAGAGAGAGTGACATTTACATTGATTCTTGAAAGACGAGCAAGTGTTCTCTAGAAAGATCGGTACAGGCAAGAATATAAGCTGTTAATGATTATTATATAACAAAAAGGTAATAATAACTATCAATATGGAGCATCCTTGTATTTATATTGCATAAAATATACATATATAAAAATTAAGTATTACACATTTCACTTTGCCTACGAAGTAGGCATTATTCCCATTTAATTATATAATTAACAGAAAAAATATAAGTGAAGGCCAGATTATGGAGGGATCTACAGATTCTCCTAAAGTGACAATAAAGGAGAAAAAAAGTTAATAAATTATTCACTGAAAGACCTAACTTGCAGTTTCCTCCATTTGCAAAGCTCTTTTTCCTTTCATTCCAACTTAAATGATCCTCCCCAGAGGATATCTTATTCCCCTAAGATAGTCTTTTCCTTCACTCTACTTGTTTAATTTTTCTTCATTGTGCTTTATCATCGTGCAGTATATGAGTTTATTCATTTGCTAACTCTCCCGCCATAATGCAACCATGACATCACAGACTTGATCATTCCTCTTTGCCTAGTGCCTAAACCAGTATCTGACACACAGTAAGTGCTCAAAATATATTTGTTTCTTAAGTTACTTACCTAACTGGATTTTCAATATAAATATATCTATTTACCAAATTACTTACCTAATTGGATTTCCAAAATGTTTGAAAAAGAAAAGATTTTCAAGAAATTATTTGGCTGATCAGAAAAGCAAGATGGAGAAATTAACAAAACTCCCTTTTGACATTGAATTCAAACCTAAGTAGTTAGTAGAAATCTAATAACATTACTATTCTGCTTCAGCACTCCCCTAAGGCTAAAGGATAAGTTCTATTCATTGTCCGATTTTATTGTTTAAATACTTATTGAACAAAATATGCAGCATACCATGTAAAAATAACCAAAGGGAACTTTAAAATATTGAAGACAGTCCTTAAGGCTCTTATACTCTAATAATAAAGTGAAAACTCCATGAAGTCAAAAATTAAGTCTGTTTTGTTGATTACTATACAAGTAATCAATAAAACACATAGTATAATACTATACATAGTATAATATTACTAAACATAAAATTGCTACACATATTTCTATATATAAAATTACTATACATAGTATACTATATTACTATATAGTATTATAACTGTTATACATCTTATATGTAAATTATTATTGTATGTTACCAAATTTACTAAATAATTTGCCTAGCTTTTACCTGTAAGCAATTGCATTTTCAGTGACCTTATGAAAGTGAAATTGGATTTTAGTAATTGGGGTTAGAAAAAGAGAAAACAAGAATAAACAGAAATAGGAAATAAGATGAGCTCTGGAACCCACAATCGTCATAGACTGGCTAGCAGGCTGGTTCTCAACTGAGAGTGCTAAGGCCTTCTCCCTGCTCACTCACCCTCTCTCAACTGCTACTGGCGGTCAATGGCGGGGGTGCTGTGGAGGGCAAGAATACTGAGTAACTTTAATGCACAAGCCTGGCAAGTCCCACACAACAAAGAACTATCCTCTGCTATCTCAATAGTACTCCCTAGTGGAAAGAAAAAACACTAGCAAAAGACAGGTGAAGTAGCAATCGAAGGTGAATGTGTCATTTTCCTTTTTAATCTACAGTATATGTTTGCTACCAAAGAATGCCTATCACAACAGTCTAGGCAGGAAGTAATAGAATTATAAACTATAGAAATTGCAGCAGGGATAGAAATAAAAGATCCTACTGAAGTGAGAACTAAACATATTAGAAAAAAACCAGATAAACATGACTGATATTTCAGGCCTAAAAGTCATTCTAGACAAAACAAAGGTACATTTTCATCTATCTGGCTGAGCCACACCAAACAGAGAATTACAAAATGCATCAAATGCTATTCCCTTTGCCTTCACTAGAGGAATAAATATGCCTTTTCTATCCTAGGATGCCTTTGTCATCCTAGTCAATTGATATATGTGGGGAACACAGTTCAGAAACTAAGGGCTTAAGAAAGAAACGAAGCTGAAAAAAATTAAGTGAAGTCTTTAGAGCTCTCCCTCCTGTAACATTATTTAAGTCAGCAAATTTCACACAGAAAAGAACCACCAAGCAGGGGAGCCAGGTGATTCTTAATCACAAACCAAGGACTGCAGCCTGCTAAGTGTTCAGCAGCATATGCTGCCAAGAACTTGGCTTATCACACTGGCAGCTATTTAATGAATCTCATGATTAGGATTTTCTTAATTACCACCAGAGAGAATTTTTTAAATAAATGTTGTTTGTATTTACTACTTTCACTAATTGCTCAAGCATTTATCAAATCAAATACTTCAATACTTCAAATATTCAATATGAGTATTTTCAGAGTAAATTCTCTAGAAAATTTTCAGAACAATTCTTTGGTATCATTTTTCAATATACCAAAGACCTGATTCAAACTCAAAAGAAGAGTGAATAATGTCTTCCTTCTCTTCTGATATCCTCTCTAGGACAGTCTATTTCACATTCCTAGTATTCCCTTGTATTTCCAGTATCTAGCATACTACCAACACCTAGCACATAATAGGATTAGTGGATATTTCTCCAAGAAAAAGCAATGCACAAATAATAAAAGCTGCTGCATATTTTTTAGCGAAAAATGAGTTTCAGTATTTTATACATGTTACCTGTTGCATGATGATAGGCATTCAAAAAATGCTAACATTTATTGAGTGCATATATTACATGCCAGAACAACAAATGAGAAAGGGAAAATTGTAACTAGCTAAGTATACACAATGCTATACCAGGAATGCTATAAAAATGTAGGCAGAAGACTCTAGAATCTCTAATATCTATTCAGACTTTTGAAAAGTTCAACAATCAAAAGAGACAGACCTTACCAACAGAGGACTGAGGTACCACTGCAGATGTTCTGTAATTATGGCTTAAGTATTATTCTGAAAAGAAAATACAGAACCTTTGCTGAAAACTCCTAACTGATGACTGCTTCTTGGAACTCTGAATTTTTGTAATCACTCACTTCACATAAAAAACACCTGCTAGTTTACCTGGACCCTAGCAAAAACAAAGTAATTTCCCCTGATTGTTAGCTAAAATTTCCCCTAAATAATTGCTAACTTCATCTACACCTTTCAAATGTTTTAAATAGACTATCATACAAACTCAGTTCCTTAGATCCCTTGCCACTTTCTGGAGACATTTTTAAATTTATCATATTCTGATTATTTCACTCCTATATATTTCCCCATCTGTCCCCCAACACACTACCACCAAGCAACTTAAGTTCCTGCTAATCTCAGAGCCCCTCTAAAGGTGAGAACCAGAAGGTAATGCCTCTACCTCAACAACTGTCTTATTAATATGCAATTCATTTACTAACACACTCCTCTGTCCAAAAAATAGCTACACTGTATTCATGGTTAGCCAATATGTTTCTTCAGTGTATCTAAACAAATGAATAGATGTATTCTTACAGCTGTATTTATCTCTATATTCAGTGACAGCTATCTAATTCTTTTTATTTATTTATTTATTTATTTTACTTATTTTTTTTGAGACAGTCTCACTCTATCACCCAGGCTGGAGTGCAGTAGCATGATCTCAGCTCACTGCAACCTCTGCCTCCCAGGTTCAGGTCATTCTCCTGCCACAGCCTCTTAAGTAGCTGGAATTACAGGCATTCGCCACCACGCTCAGACGCTTTTTGTAGTTTTAGTAGAGACAGGAGTTCACCATGTTTGGCTAGGCTGGTCTTGAACTTCTGACCTCAACTGATCCTCCTGGCTTGGCCTCCCAATGTGCTGGAAGTATAAGCATGAGACACTGCGCCCAGCCCCACAGCCATCTAATTTTTTCCACTTTGTTTTATACTATAAATTCCTAGAAAGCAATAATGTATCTGTATATA